GTTCAACACAATCTGCTGGCTTCTTTACATTTAGACTTGGTGCTATATATATAAACTGAATTAAATTCAATTAATGTGAAATATTTGATAAAAGAAATTCACGTGATTTAATTATAATTGGGTGTACAAATAAAAAGGAAGGTTGATCTTAATACTGACTATGTAATTTATCACAGGGCAGTTGTGTCTAAATGTGTCAGTATTTTACAGCAAACATAAAAAGGAAAGGCTGTACAGCTTTATTATGCACCAAAAACGTTGACAGACCTAAACACACACAGCACATGGCTTGAAACTAATCAACTTGTCAGTAGACATATCTTTCAGTTTTTGTTAAATTATTCACACACGGGATATGACACTCTGTGTGTATATATGCTCCACAAGCTAATATTTAGCTTGTAAAATAATATCAGTTCAATAACAGTGATTACATGGACTTTATAAGATTATTTTAATTTTAAACTGTTACATTATGTTCTGCTCAGATCACATTGAGCTAAACAAGATCAAATCTGCTGTCTTGTGTTGTGAAATGAGATGTTTTCCTGTTTATCTTCTGTTAATAAATCCATAACACAAACAGCTTTTCTGACATTATTTAAAACATTAGATTATATAAACTGTAAAATATTAATAATTGGGTTAATATTATTATAGTTTTAATGATTTCTACATCAGTCCTTTTTTTCTGCTCTGTTGTCAACATGTTCAGTAACTCTTGACCGTTTAGCGTTAGCCGTTAGCTTCACCAGCCGATCACACAGTCMTGTGGTTTCTGTTCTATTGAAACTCCTTGGTTTTAACTCAGTTTTACAGCTACTGAGCTAAATTTTGGTGTGATAGTAATGAACCAGCAACCGGAGATAAATCTGACCAAGTTTTTGGAAACTGCACTCAACATTTTCATGATTTCACCACAACTCCATTATTTCTCCACATTAGTTAGCACTATACGCAGCAGGTGCTTTATTTAACAGCTTGAGTAATGTTAGGCCTTTTTTCCCCCCTTGGTTTTATTTACAACTAAAAATACAAATGGCTAGATCACATACATATTTGCACGACATTGAAAGCAAAGCGCCTGACGGTAGAGTGTTTGTAGTAGATTTAAAAAATCATGAGTAAAAAGTCTAAAGCTACTTAGGACAACATGACTGTTGTGTTTTGTCTGTAGAGCTGCAGTCCAAAACAGAAATGTATGCTTTGTAATTTCTGGAGATAATCTTTTTGTAAAAATCATGCTTCTTTCCGGAAAAGTCCCCATGGTGGTGTAGTCAGATGGGCATTTTTAGGAGAGCACATTCTGTCAGCAGATTCAGGGTGGTGCTCACACATCTGCTGCTGGAGATCTGAAATAAAGAAGAAAACTGATTTGAAGCAGGTGATGGTGAAAAAAAAAAAGAGCTGGTTTCTTTCACTAACTGTTTTAGTTGAAAATACACAAACCAACAAATAAAAGGCCTCACCTTGATCCTGCCGCTGAACTTGGCTGATCCCAGCGCCGTAGAGACCTGGGTCAGGGCCCCGGCTGAAAGGTCCAGCTTGAAGTGTCGGTAAAAGTGGCTCTTGATCGCCTGCATGAAGCTTGTCACCTCCCCCATGTCAATCCAGCCTGCCTCGTCGCCTCGTCCCCGCGAAGCCCTCCGCACGCTGCTCCACAGCTCCCACGCGTCCTGGGCCTCCACTGTGTAGGTTACCTGAAGCGGTGGCGTGGAYGGTACGGTCCAGAGCATTTTCAGGTGCTTGATGGTGGCCTCTGTGTGGCAGTTGGTCCACAACGCCACAAGCCACTGCAGGCTGGTGTGGTTGATCTCCAGAGGACCGAAGCAGCAGTCGAAAATCCTCTGAAACCACGATTTGACCAAAGAGGAGAGATTTTCAGCCCCTTTGTAGCAGAACAGTGGCAGACAGGTGAAGTCTTTGGGAAGCGAGTTCAGATACTCGGGACTGCCGTTGATGCACGTCAACCAGCCGCTCCAAACTAACTTCTGTGGCTCATCYTGCCTCGGAAACAGCGACTTGGAATGGATCTGCGTGTCAGGGAGAATGTTTTTATTTAAAATAACATCGAAACACAAAAGTTTGAAAATCAAGCATTATTTTATTCACGTCRAAATGACTGAACCTCCTCAACTGACTTGTTTCAATGCAAAAGGATTAGTCTTTAGACCAGGAGGAGTGGGCACTGAGGGCTGCAGCCCTGCATGTTTCACTTGTTTCTCTGCTCCAACACACCTGATTTAAATGAATGGGTGATTAACAGGCTTCTGCAGAACTGAATCAGCTGTGTTGGAGCAGAAAACAAGGTAAAACATGCAGGGCTGCGGCCCTCAAGGACCAGGATTGCCCACCCCTGCTTTAGACTCAATTCATTCTTCACCACGACCGACCGAAGCAACGCCCTCATTACTGAGGAATCGGATGAGTCCATGATACGTCGATCCATCTCTTGCTCCATCCCATAATCGCTTGTAATCAAGACAGGAAGGCACAAATGCCTACATCGTATTCYGGGAACTGGTAAATGGTAGMGACGTMATTTCCCAACAAACCATATGAAACTGCGTTCCAGTTAGCCGACAGGCGATTGTATTGTTGCCGCTAACCTAGCTACAATCCTRCTACAATATAAACAATGRCAAAAASAGAGCTCTGCTACGCAYGTCGTGTAAATAAACATTGATTTTAACACATACAGTCTTGCACAGACAACACACTACCTATGCGAGTGATTAAACATGCACAAAAAGTTAAGCAAGATAAAAGTTAACTTTCTAAAGCTGTGAGTAGCTGCCATCTTGAAATCGAAACTGGGGGCAGTTTCATTTCTTCCACTTTACGAGTGGAATATTATCACTGGAGGGGGCGTTCCAGTTTAAATCTASCAATGGGAACTGGGAAATTATTACTTCCCCAGGACTACWGGAACACAGCATTAAAGTCCCCTCCCCACCCCCCTGGCCAGGAGGAAGCATTCTACTCGTTTCCGGCAGTGAACGGTGGCCGCCAGCTCTCATCCCAGCCACTCCGCACTCGGCTGGAAACTGCCTTGGCGCACGCTAAAAGTCGAGACCCGAAGACGCCAACAGAACCACATCAAATCCCAGTGAAATACTTTGAAGTTTGTGTTTGTAAAATGTGCTGACGTTCAAGAGGGATTCTTAAAAAGAAACAAACAAACAAACACATAAATAAATAAAACACAAGCCTTCTCCATCGTCACGCCCATACCTGTATGAGGACGGTCTCGGGGTCATCGTCCGCCTCCGACATCCCCTCCACCACTGACAACGACACTTTGAAGCTGTTCTGCAGCGTTCCAACCTCCACCGCCAAACCTTGCTGCCTCTCGGCAACAATGAACGCCGACAGCTGCCTGGCGTAGCTCTTGAGCTGGGTGTGTCTGAACTGGTAGAGGGGAGTGACGTAGGAGAGCTGCCACTCGGTTTTCACCAACAAAGCCAGGTACTCCGGATTCACCTTCTCCTTTAAGAATAGTTTAAAAAATAATAATCRAAGAGTGTTACCTGTCTAGCTCATGATACAGACTAAAGTAATGGCCTGGAACAACTTACAGCGATATTATGTGGCTTTGAAGCTTTTCTGTTGGTGTTGAGTCTCCTTGCGGTCACCGCTGGTGTCAAGCCGAGCCTTGAAGCAACTCCCAAACAGCTGCGGTACGACTGATGGTAACTCCTATTTTTGCTCCTTCTTTGACCCACAACACTATGGAGAGGAGTCCGGCTTGTCAAACTGAAAATCAGATACGACAATATTGCTTTGTTAAAACATACAGGTAAAATTATTCTGATGAACTTTCTGATACCTTGTCCTGATGCATCTCAGTAATCCAGGTAGAAAAAATAAGTAGGTCTTCTGGACGGGTTCTTCTTTAGTGAAACATTTCGTCTCTCCTCTGAGAGACTTCTTCAGTCTGAGAGTTTCAGGTGAACTCAGCCTGGGAACATCAGGTGATGGGACACATGACCCTCTATGAACAATAGAGCTAATCAAGCCTATTGTTAGACGATGGCCCTATTTTGCATGTGACTAACCTGTTTGTCCATGTGGAGGCAGTGCTTATAAGGCTGAATTTTGCCTGAAACTCATCAGACTGAAGAAGTCTCTTGGAGGAGAGACGAAACGTTTCATTAGAGAAGAACCCGTCCAGAGGACCTACTTATTTTTTCTTTTTTTATTTCTGATACCTTATTTATTTTATTTATTAATCTGTGTGCATCTGTGTTTGTGAAATCACAGAGTTGGATTAATTGTTTTGCACAACTTGAATCATTCTCCTTGGAGTCTAAATGTTCAGGTWTGGTCTAAAGAAATCAATTAGAACTGAAAAAATGTTAGATTTATTTTATTTGCAAAGTGACAATCAGCCAAATAAACAACCAGAAAAACCCACTTCATTCAATTTACCTTCTATAAAATCTTCACGGTGCTGTTCATAAAATGTGAATTTTTGACTCGTTCTGTTGTTCTCTTGTGTAAAGCAAGTCAGCCGAATTAAACATTATCAATTAAATTATGGATACGTGTCTTTTATTATAATTTTAGACGAAAGACCTTTTCATTWAAAAAAATCGGGGCAACGATACTCTTTTCAGATAAATGCGATCATAAAAAGCTAGCAAAGCAGAAAACTAAGCTGTTTTTCGTTGTTGCGAAAAAGAAATTAGAATATTTCATAAACATAAAGATAAATTATTTCTACCTTTCCTCAGTCCGCTCCATGTCAGCAGAGCCGAACGAAAAAGTCCTAAATAAAAAAAGCCGGAAATCAGAATTTGAACATCGCGCTTTCCCAAGAGTCTGTGCGGTTAGAACTAGCCAATCACATTCATCCAGACAGGAAAAGGCGTTTCACTTTTCAAAATAAGAATATACACGTTTAAACGCTCAATTTGTGTTTACTCAATCAAAAATACTGATTTTATTTTGAAAATTGACGAAAAAAAAAGTGTTTCAAAAACATCTTCACATGATGGCAAACAAAAATTG